GCGGAGTCGGGGGGGGGACAGATGTAGGCAGCCTTACCCCTGCACATTTAGAGGGACAGCTTGAATATGTTTTATGTGTTTGATTTTACTTTTAATTTTTCATTTGAATATGTTTTACATGTTATGTTTATGTATTTTAATTTTAGATAATAGGTTTTTTTTAAAACATTTTTAATTAATATAACTAATATTATATTTAATATTTTTATTTTCTTTAATTTTTGCATTTTTTGTATTTTTGCGCCTTGTTCCAAAAAGGTGCACACCTTGCCTTGCATCTCAGGGGCAAATTTCCCCTTTGCGTTTTTTCTGCCTTGTGCTTTTAAAACACTACATGACACTGAGGCAAATCTTTTTCTTTTTTCCTAGGAAATCTCATCTCCCGACCAATAATTAAAATACGGTATTATGGAAATTTCCTGAAAATCAAATTTGAATTGTTTTTATAAGAATTCAGGTTAATCATTTTGAATGAGGCTTCGTTCAAGATCTTCTGATGCTGTTGATGGTGTGCTAATTATCTTTTGTAACACATTAAAAGTTTAACTTATAACTAAATCCCTTTTATATGAAACTTTGTTGACATTGATCTACCTAGAAGTCATGAAGATTAAACTCTGACAAAGTTCAACTGCAACACTATGTCTATGCTTCTGGAGTAAATGTTGATTGTTTAATCATGCAACAGGATTTGTATGAGCAAAATGGGCACATCAAAAATACCATTATCTCCAAAATTCATTTCTGTGGAGGATGATAAAACCAATTGTGGAAGTAACTATGATGGTATGCTCTTTCCTTGATTTTTCTTTTTGCTTTATAATTCATACCATATAATCTTTCAAAAAAAAAAAGCTCTCTAATTCTGTTACAGATAATTGAGTGCTGCAAATTTCTTAAATATTTCTACATTTAATGTCTTCGGGTTGAATTTCCATAGCAATTGGACCCAAGGAAATAGCTTCGATGTGGCCATAACAATCTCTTATAACTGCCTCCCCCCGGCTCTCCCCATACCAGAGGGTCAGGATTGAGGTGGGTACCATTGTAAGGATCTATTCGGCTTTAATATTGAAGAGTCAGCCACCTATTGCCATCTTCTGAAGATATCCTCCATATAGAAAGGGTCAAAAAGCTTTAAGGTCTTTACCTAATGACATACTTTTTACCAAGATTTTTCTCCAAGTCAAGAACTCTTCTTTATGCTTGATTTATTCCAGAATATTCTTCCATTCTTTTACTTCCAAATAGACCAAAAATAGCCTCTCTAGTGCACCTCCATAGAATTCTCCATCTATTTCTTATTGGAGAGAAGAAAGTAGGATTTAAAGAGACTTTCCAGGGGTAGTGGATTACCTGCAACCAAACAAAGAAAAAAGCCTTTCCCAACTTCAAGTTGCTAAATGATAGTATGTCATAAGAAGACTAACCACAGAATAGATCAAAGAGTAGTGTCTCTAGTGCACTTCCACAGAACTCTCCATCTGTTTCTTGTTGGAGAGAAGAAAGTAGGGTTTAAAGAGACTTTCCAACTCAGGGCCAGGTGTGGTGGATCACCTGCAGTGATCGCTTTGGATAAAATAGGAATTAAAAAAATGATACTGTTTGAGAAAAGGGTAAAGTATATTTCTTTAACTAAGGGGATCCAAATAGGAACCCGAGAAACTTTACAGTGGTAGATTGTACATCCACCATAAAAACCCACAAAATACATAGAAAAAAAAACAGCCTGAATACATCTTTCAGCCCATTAACAGATTCTTTGAAAACAGATTACAAAAATGAACATTTCTAAAATATTTTCATGTTATCCATAAAGAAAAAAGGCCAACCAAAGCAGCTGTGTTATTGAGAATAAAATACTTCTCAAAAAGGGGCTGAAGGAAATGGAAAATTGAAAAACGTATAAGCGAATCAAAGTTCTGAAAGAACTGATCATAAAAAAAAAAAAGAAAAACACAGTTCTGAAAGAAATAGAATATTTTCAAAAGGCTATTGGTCTAATTAGTTAGAGCATCACGTTGTTTTTTGAAGATAAAATATTTTCAGTTAGTTAGAGCATCATGTTATTAACACAATGGTTCTAGCATTGTAGGTTTAAGTCCTACATTGGCTAAATTGTTTGAACTTTAAACATCATATTTACAACCTATGATATAAGGAATTACTATTATATCATCAAATTCATGCTTAGCTCATCATAATATAACAAGAAGCCAGATAAGAAACACTTAGAGTTAAAATGAGGCATAACCCACCAAATGAACCTTGGCAGTGAGTGACTTTTATTTGTTTATTTTAAAACCCCAAGACCAAGTAACCAGTTTATTTAATTGTTTTGACTTTTTTCTTTCAGTAGCTTTCTTTTATTTCTCTTTTACATTTCTTAAATAGCATAGATACATTTAAATAGAATGTCTAGCCCAAGATTTAAGCATTTGTTCTCTTAACCAAAAGGTCCTCTTCACCTTAATGCATATGATCTATTATGAAAATATTCGCACCATCTGATGTAGTCATCTATTTGACATGGTAGTCCTAACTTGGGGAAGAAATTTGAGGTTGTTTGGATCTCCTTGTGATGTTTAATATTGAATGAAAGAAGAAAAGCTGGAATGGTCTATTATGCACAATCTAAGCATTTTGGGTTTTAAACTTTATGTTTCAGGCTGCAGATTCCGTATTGTCTCGTATAATATTTTGGCTCAGGTATGCCATCTTTCCAGAATCATATATTCATATTGTTATATCATGTTTTTTTTTTGGTACAATGTTGAATTAGATGTTACTTAATAAATCCTTTTTGAAATTGTGTCATAATAAGTTGGTAACTTTACATTATACTTGTAGGAATATCTTATTACTTCCAAATTTGTACCTTGTCTATGTAGTACTGGTAAACAAATGTTTTATAAATAAGGGTAAAACAGTGTATGAGGGCATTATTATGAAGTAAATTTCAATTTAGAGATCCGTAAAATGGTCATGGAAAAAATCCACCATAGAAATGGAAAGTATTCATTTTGGTAAGACTTTAAATAATAACTTTATGGTATTTGCCATAGCAAGCCTCTTTTTCTACTTCTCTCTGAATTTATGTAAACAAAAAGAGGCATCATCATCATCACCGTCATCATCATCATTTTTCTCTCTCTATGTCAAATTAGGGCTCTACCCTCTCATATGTTTTTCTCCTCTTTCTCTCTAATCACTTTTCTCCATTTTCTAATTGGGAAACCTTCTACTATTATTTTCCTCTGCAATTAATACATATAAAAACTTACTCTCCCATTTATATCTTTGCCAAATTCAACCTAGCAGGGACCTTGTCTATTTGTTTCTTTGCCTTTGCTTCATTATTTGATTTATCATTATCTCATGCATAAACATGTAGATATTCTTTTTATATCTCCTTGTACTAACAGAATAAGATATCCACCCTCTAGGAAAATAAGCTATCCAAAAGAAAAAAGAAAAAAAACAATTTAAACCAATCAGTACTTAGTTGCTTAGATGTCAAGGCACTCCCTTTTTGCCTAGCCTCACCTTAGTGTCTTGGCAAACTATGGTATTTGTTAAACATCAGGTTGTGCAATTTAGTGATCTCATATCCAAGCAAGACGTAGATTCATTTATTTTATCTATTAAAAAACTGAATAAGGGATCCAAAACTGATATGCTAGAAAAAATAATATATCATTCATTATTACGAAGATGGGCATGCAAGGGAAATGAATTTTACACTACCAAACTTTTTACTTCCTTTTAATTTTCTATACATCTAGTAGACTATTTCTCAACTGATTATGTTTATGATATGGGGATATATAATTAGAGCAAAGTTACTCAACTCAACTCAGCATTAATTGCAACTATTTTGAATCAGCTACACAACTCAGCATTATTTGTTAGCACTTCAACTCACATTTTTTAATCTTACTATTGCTCTTTTAGATACTTGTACTTCTCATTGGTGCAGTCATTGGCTATGCACATGACCAGACCACCTCAGATAAATTTTACTTATTTTGTTACCAATCGCGGCTGCTCTTAAGTTGTCTTGCATGCACTTGTTTCAAATTTTATCCTTTCCAGTGTTGCCACTTATCCATTTCAACATCTTCATCACTTTTTTTTTTGAGAAAAAGAGTAACTGATTTCATCTTTGCTCAATATCTTCATCTTAGTCACACTCCTTTTTTAGACATGTTATTTTTTTTTGTTACCAAATTCACTATTCCATATAACATTGTTGTTTTTATCGCCATCTTACAATATTCTCCTTATAGTGTCAACATGTCATAATTACACACCAGTCACAAGTACACCAGATGCACCTCTCCACTATTAACTACCTTGCTCTAATTTTATTAGCAATATCATCTTCATTTTCTCCTTCATTATGGATTGTATCTAGGGTACTGGAAGTGGTTAGCTTGGGGTATCTTTTTATCATAAATCTTAATTGCACCCTTTTTTATAAATGATCCTTACTCCAACATCCTATGGAATCTGATACTAGCAAGAGGTTTTGGGTTTAGCACCCAAAAGAACAGGACTTAAGTATGTAGCAGGTTTATTTTATCTTCCAATTTTAATTTTTATAATATATTTTTGTTTTTATATGATGAATCCAAATGATGGAAAGTCGGATTAAATATAAATGCATTAATCACTGCAAGTGGTAAAGAGGGCGAGGTGCCCTTAGAAACATTTATGAAGAGCTATACCTGTACCGTGTATAACATACTCATCGAAAAATAACAGAGATGTAATTGTCCTTAAAACTTAAAAATACTTTTTCTACCATTAAACAAATTATAATCAATTATAGTCAGTTTAACAAGATGGCTCTTGAAACAAAAGTACTATTTGACATGTTTGTCTATGGGACCCACATACAGGGAACCTGCCTTTTTTTCTAAACTGATACAAAATTTCTGATGTGTGCTGCAAAATGGAGTTGTTTTACGAACACCATTCCTGTCATTATAAATAGGGGTTTTTCGATAGGTAAGCTTGAGTTGTATTAATAGTAAAAAATATGAAGGGGGTGCACTCCCTATAAAGCTACATTTGAAACTACAAATATAAGCTTTTAAGAACATGTACATCATATACATCTGTCTCTGCAGTTTTTAATAGGGTATCTTCAGTCTCGTTACTAGTTATATGCCCAGTTTATCAAAAAGAGATTCTCCCTGAATCAGCACTTTTTTTTCCTTTTTTTTTCTTTTCAAAGTTTTATAGTTTCATGACACATGATACCATTGTTTTTATTAAAAATTACTTATAAAATGAAGTTGGAAAAGGTGAAGTAGATTAGTCTTACTGAGAGACAAATCTTGTCATTACTTTGAGGTATACACATCAAAATCTATTTCAGTTATTACTGAGAGCCAAATCTTGTCATTATCTTTAGAATTGAGACAATGGTTTTTGAACCTTGGACTATAATATGCTTAATGTTTTAGTTGAGGATTATTTACAATGCTCCATGAATTGCAAATTCAGATTCATACACAAAAATACACACTAAAACCATAGTTGTCAAGGGGACGCCTAGGCGACAAGGCGCCCTTTGAGGCTCGCCTATCGCCAACCAGTTTTGTACTATGAATTATAAAATACTTTTTTATTCTCTATTTTTTGATGTTATAATTATAAAATAGGCACTATTAAACTAAAATATTCATTTTGTGTGTTTATATACTAATTTCTTTTTATTATTTTCTTATTTGTTAAGGTTTAATCAATACAAACATTGCTAAATGCTGTATTGAACCCTCAAAGACTTTAAAACCTGAACCAATAACTAAGGAAGAACATAAAATTTTGTCTAATCAACACATTTTCTACTACTACTATAACAAAAATAAGGGTCCAACCCCTATATTTTTTGAATTTTCTTTTCCTTCCTTTTCTTCTCATTAATATGTTGATTTTCTATACTTTAACATGAACTCTATACTTTTCTTATGAAAATTATGAATAATTATTATTTATCAAAAAAATTATGAATAATTATTAAGGAAATATGGTTATGATACCAAACACATTCCTTGAGCTTGGTACCATAACCATATTTCCTTAATAATTATTCAAGAGAGTTACTTTTTCAAGAGAACAAGGATGAAGACGAGGCACCAAAGTTCGAGGAAGACGTCGTGAAGGTTAAAGATCAGTTGCCTAAGGCTACGGTTCAGGTGCTGCTTGTACTTGCAAAGGAAGTCGGTCCATTAGTGCAGGAAGAGCAAGATATGATGCTGGTAGGAAACTCTTCTCACGCTCCAACCTGCAACGTAACACTAGAAGAAGGACAGAAATGGAAGAGTCTTTCACCTATTAAAGCAGACAGGGTTTTGATTCACAGTGTAAACTCTCTCTCACGCAAGCTTAGTCACAGGGAACAGCTTTAGGCCCATCTCTTTACGAGAATCCCTCTCCCTTGGAAAGTCGTCCCCTCAGTCCCAAACATTACAGGTACTGTTGTCCATTCGGTTTTGGTTACTAATGTGCCTTCTGTGCTTGAAACAGATACACCAGCATCCCGAGCGGAAGTTCTAGTGTGGGGGATGAGAAGAGAGACTGGAAGCTCTGAATGCGAACTGAGAGAAGGTGAGATGGCAGTGGAAGAGGGACAAAAGGAGGAACTAGAGAGAATTTGGAAGAGAATCTGCGCGTTGTTGGAGGAGTATAAAGAGAGGGAGGAGAAATTAGATCAAAGGGAGAGAGTAACAACTTTTCAAGAAAAGGACTATTATAGGTTTTCTGTGCCCTTAAAGGTTAGGAATGTGGGGGATGGCTTCACCTGGGTCTTAACCAATGTCTATGGGCCAAACTCGTATAGAGAGAGGAATGAGATGTGGGAAGAGTTGTATGCCATACGAGGTCTGTGGGAGAGTCCTTGGTGTCTTGAGGGGGACTTTAATGTATTTAGGTTTTGTACCGAATCTAATAACCCCCAAAGGACAATTACAACCAGCATGAGGAAGTTCAATGATTTCATTAATAACTATGGTCTAAAGGAGTTACCCCTCTTACAAGCCAATTTTACATGGTCGAATTTCCAAGAAAACCCCCTTTGCTCAAAATTAGACAGATTCCTCTTTATTGAAGAGTGAGAGAACCATTGGACGAACTTGATGGCTAAGTCCTGAAACCTTAACTTCTGGTCCTCGGCCTTTTAGATTTGAGAATATGTGGTTAACTCATCCGGATTTTGTGCACTTGATTGGGGAATGGTGGAGAGAAGAATTAAGAGGAGTGAATTAGAAGGGAGTAAGATTCCACAAAAAATTGAAAAGGTTGAGATCCCAAATTAAGGAGTGGAATAGGGAACACTTTGGAAGGATAGAGGAGCAAAAAATTGACTTGATGTCCAGGACTAAGGAACTTGATTCCAAGGAAGCTCAAAGGATGATGAGTGAGCAAGAATGAGTTTTGAGAGAAAACCTAAAGAAGGACCTGGAAGAGGTCCTTTTGAGAGAGGAAATCTCGTGGAGGCAAAAGTCGCGACATAAATGGATTAAGGAAGGGGATGGGAATACTAAATTTTTCTATGCATTGGCTAATGGGAGGAGAAGAAAAAATTTCGTGGCTAAGTTAGAGGTGAATGGGGAGGAACTCACAAATCAAGATGAGATAGCTAGATGTTTTGTGGATCATTTCAAATCAATCTACAGGAAACCGTTGAATAATAGGCCAACCTTGGAAGACTTGGAGTGGACTAGATTGTCTGAAGAACAAGCAAATTGGTTAGAAAGGGACTTTAGTGAAGAAGAGATCAGATAGGTGGTGTTTTCAATGGATAGATCCAAAGCACATGGTCTAGATGGCTTTACAATGACATTCTATCAGGATTGTTGGGATGTGGTTAAAGAAGACCTTGTTGGGGTGTTTTAGGAATTTGCAAATAAAAAAACAGTGAGCCCTGGAGTCAATGCTACTTTCCTAGCCTTAATCCCAAAGAAGGTAGGTGCAAAGAACCCTAAGGACTATAGGCCAATCAGTCTAGTGACAAGCATCTATAAAATCCTGGCTAAAGTGTTGTAATTGAGAATCTGAGTAGTACTACTCTCCATCACCAGTCAAGAACAAGGTGCTTTCGTGCAGGGAAGGCAAATAACGGATCAGATCCTAATAGCAAATGAGTGCGTGGAGGACATGAGAAAGTCAGGAACCCAAGGTTTTGTTTGTAAACTAGATTTGGAGAAGGCTTATGATCTTGTGGATTGGAGCTTTTTACTAGAGGTCCTAGGATGCTGTGGGTTTGGAGATAGATGGTGCAATTAGGTAAAGGGCTGTATTAGTTCCTGCCATTACTCCGTTTTGGTTAATGGGGTGGTGAAAGATTTTTTCCTAATTTGTAGAGGCCTTAGACAAGGTGACCCTCTCTCCCCTTTTCTTTTTACCCTAGTTGTAGATGTCTTCAGTAGATTGATCTCTAAAGCAGATAGGGAAGAGGAAGTTAGAGGCTGGAGGACTGGAAGGAACAATGTCCGGGTAACCCACCTGTAGTTTGCCGATGATATCATGATTTTTTATGAAGGGGGTGACAGGCGGGAAGTGAGAAATCTCAAAGCATTGTTACAACACTTTAAGAATGTCTCCAATTTGAAGATAAACCTGGATAAGAGTTGTGTGGTAGGGGTTAATCTGAATGAGAGGACTTTGCAGTTTGTGGCAGATTTTGTTTAGGTTGTCCCATTTCTTCTTGGCCCTTACAGTATCTAGGTCTCCCTCTAGGGGTTAACCCAAAGGAGAGTAGATTTTGGACCCCAATTCTGGAAAAGTTTGAGAGAAGATTAGCTTCTTGGAAAAAGAACTACATTTCCATAGGGGGTCGAGTGACTTTATTGAGATCTACCCTAGCAAATTTATCGGTTTATTTTCTCTCTATCTTTAGGATTCCTATTAGGGAAGCTAAGAAGTTGGAGAGGATAATGAGATATTTTCTATGGAAGCCTGGGGAGGATAAGAAAGATCATCTAATCAATTGGGAAATAGTTTGTAGGAGTAAAGAGGAGGGTGGACTGGGAGTAGGAAGGTTAGCTCAAAGGAATAAAGCTCTCTTAGGGAAGTGGTTATGGAGGTGGCCTAGATAAAGGGAGAGATTGTGGCATGAAGTGATAGCTAGTATACATGGCAGACGGGAAAATGGTTGGGATGCGGGTGTATCACATCAAGCTACATTGGCATCTCCTTGGAAAGCAATTCAGAGTGTCCTCCCTCAGTTTCTCAACTTGGTTAGGTATGATGTCAACTCTGGTGACTTTTATTTTGGGAAGATACTTGGGTGGGTACTGTTGCCGTTAAGGACAAATTTCCGGCTCTCTATTCTCTTTCCCCTTACAAGGAAAAAACTGTTTCTCATTTTCTTCCTTCTATTACTTCACCCTCTTCCTTAAGCTGGGACTTTGGTTTTAGGAGAGGTTTGAGGGATGTTGAACTTAGTAGTGCTTCAGAATTGTCTCTTCTTGGCAGTGTCTTTCTGGACCCTCTTCACTCGGATGTGAGACTTTGGTCCCCTCATCCAAAAGGTTTTTTCACTTGTGCTTCCTTTTTAAGTCCCTTTTCCCTTCCATGGGACAGTTGGGTTTCCCTGCTAAGGAAATTTGGTTCAGACTTGTTCCTCCTAAAATTATAATATTCTGCTGGGAGGTGTTTTAAAGAAAGATCAATACTCTGGATTGCTTGCAGAATAAAAGGCCTTTCATGTGCTTGTCCCCTAACTGGTGTGTACTTTGCAGGGCTAGTGGTGAGGATTGCTCCCACTTATTTGTATCTTGTTCCTTTTCTAGTGCTATTTGGAGTTGGATCTTTTCTTTCTTTGGATGCAGGTGGAATCTGTCCTCAAAATTAAGTCAACTGTTCGATCCTTCTTGTTTTGTGTGGCCTACAAAAAAAGGAAAAACGACGTGGAGATGTATTAGAGCAGCAGCCTTGTGGACAATTTGGGAAGAAAGGAATGCTAGGGTGTTCAAAGAAAAGGAAAGAAGCTTACAAACTGTTGAGGATTGTATATTGACTAGAGACATTCATTGGCTAAGAACTTTGGACTTCTTTCATATGTTTTCCTTTGATGACATTTGGAGTAACTGGAAGGCGGTAGCCACTAGTCATACGAGGAGGGACAAGGCAGCTGCAGTGTGGAAGCCTCCGCCTGAAGGTTGGGAAAAGCTGAATTTTGATGGTAGTAGCCAAGGAAACCCAGGTCCTTTGGGGATAGAAGGGGTGCTGAGAGATAGAGAGAGCAACATCCTAGCTTTGTTTTCAGGCCCTGTGGGAATAGGAGACTCAAATAGAGCAGAGATCTTAGCGGCTGTACAAGGCATCCAGATTGCTGAACAGTTAGGAGTTCAACACTTGATAGTTGAAGGAGACTCTAAAATTGTTGTGGGATGGCTGACAAATCCAGCTTCAGCTATGTGGCGATGTAGAGATTTATCGAGGAAAGTCAATTGACTCACAAGAAATATGACAGTTACCTCTCTTTGGGTAGAAAGATCAGCAAATTCCTTAGCGGATGGACTAGCTAAGCAAGGGGTTTCAAGGGATCATTTGTTTTGGGCTGCTATGTAGTTTTATTTCTGTTTATTTCTGCTTATCCGGTTCTTAATTGATGTAATACTTTGTTAGAAGAGGTAACAGCTCGTGCCTCTTCATGGGTTTCTTGTATTGCCTTATATTCTGATTTAATAAATTATTTGCATTCATAAAAAAAATATGGTTATGGTACCTAGGGAACTACTCTAGGATCTATGTTTTCTCCATAATAAATCCATCGCCTAGGCAACTAGGTGACAAGGCGCCCACCTGTCACCTAGCCTCGCCTTGGCGCCTTGAAAACTATGATTAAAACTTTCCTAAATGGGTACCTTATGATTATTCCTAGATGCACTATTCTAGTTCAGCCATGTGGGACATGGCCAATCTGAACTCTCCTTTGGATGGTGGATCCCCTCCAGATTGCTTGTTTATTTGTCTCCATAGTCTATGACAGCTTTATATTTCTCTACTCGGACTTTTTCACAAGTGATCTTGGCCATTGCAAGCTTCAATCTCATGACCTAAAAAATGCCCAAAAAAGAAGGGCTTATCTTGTAGTTTGTACTTGGTAGGGGCTGCTTACTGAAACTTTCTATGAATAGAAATGACAAGACAGAACATGCGGAACCCCAGTTAGGGGTGTCAACTCCATTGCACATGTGAGATTCTTGTGTTCTTGGTACAATTCATGACTATAGTACTTAATCTTATCAATCACTTGAAAGGTCTCAATATCTTCTGCAACTAAGAATATTATCATCATCATCATGACATCATCTAAGCCTTGTCCCAACTATACGAGTCAGCTACATGAATCCTGTTTCGCCATTCTATTCTGTTCACAACTCAGAATATCATAAATTCATAAATTTTTCGTTTGTGATTTGGAACTTATTCTACCTAGGTTGTCTTTAACATTTTAATCTTCCATATATAGGTGTATGTGAAGAGTTCTTACTTTCCGCACTCTCCATCACCTTGTCTCAAGTAAGTCTTCTAAGTTTTTCATGTTCAGTCAACCTAAAGGGTGCAATGCTTACACTTTTCATTTTTAGTTGTGCAAGGTTATTCTTGTAAAATTGTATCAAAGATAGAAAGATGTCAACAAGAAACATACCCAGGAGCAAGGATTAAAATATCATCAGTGTATCTAGATACACATGGATACACTGATACACAAGAGTTTTAAAAGCTTTAAAAAGTTTGGGATGACAAACAGCATCCCTCCAATGCTCTAATAAAATAAAATAAAAGGGTAGGAAAAACAAAATGGAGTATTGGTAATATCGACACACACCAATACCAACTTTGGGTATTGGGTGTATTGATATTTTAATCCTTGCCCAGGAGATGAGCATGGTTCAAAGTATGCTCTAGTCTGCTGATATACAAATATTTTGTTGAGAGGATATGAATATTGAGGAATACAAAAGTTTGAAATACTGTTGATATATTTTGCTTCAGAAAAATTTCTGATTAGGCCTGTCTTTGCTTGACAAACAAATATCTGCCTTGGATTTTGCTGATTCAACACTATCAGCAGTGAAATGTTGTACCAAAACTAGAAATTACATAGACCTTAGCAGATTGATGTTTCTTAGAACAAATTTTGGACAAAATGCCTGAATTTTCTGGTTCCCTCAATATTATAATCTTGAATGCCCAATCTATTTTCACAACCCTGCAGTAATATTGCTTTTTTTTTTTTTTATATTGAGTTCTGATAATCTACATTTTTAAATGAATTGCCTGTAATCTAAACTTACTTTTCTAGATCTAACCAATGTGTATATTCAATTGGACTGAGATTCTCACTAGGTGGCAAGTGTATAACTTGACCCCCCCTTTTCTCATTCTTTTGACTATGCTCTTTTGAACCATAAGAAATGGTGGGAGATGTTTTCCTCAGGCAGGATATCTAAACAGAGTTTCTTTGAAGAACTGGAGGGGAAGATATTTTTCTCAGATATAAATGCTCTTCTTAGACTTTATTAGCTTATCAAATTAGTAATGACTGTGGTGGGAGATGTTAACTGTCATTCTACCATCTTAAATATCCATATTGACATCTCATATAAAGGGGCCATTACCCAACCTAACCTTGTCATTTTTGCACAAAGTGGCTACTCTCAGACTCGAACCCATGTTCTCATGTCTTCAGACATGTTTCCCTCTTTGCTTCATTATAAATCAGATACTTAAAATAACATTAGTAAGAAATAGAATATAATCATGGACTTTTTTGTTGAAAATATTATAAAATACAATAACTATTTTGAAGGCTTAAAATGTTGACATATCTCCCAACAATTCATGATGTATTTCCATTTCCATGGGTACCATAATGATATATTACTGGAATCAACATATTCCCTAGTGAAAACTACCAGTGCTATATGGAGTACAGAAGGTGGTACTATAACATGATAAGTTGGCAATACATTGCAGATTTATGGAGCAGAAGTATTACTACCTGCTTAATGAAGATGATGGCACTTAGAAACAACTCAAAAATTCTGTTTTGAATGTGCCATTAAATCTTAGTTTTTGTGTGAGTAATAGATTATTTGGCTGATCTATAAGAATTGTTTACACTTGCTGTGAGTTTTTGCTTGAACTTACTCTATTATGTAGTTTTAATTCTTAAAGTCTGCAGAACAATTTTGCAGCTTATTATGTTGTCTATTAACCTTAATTTTTTTGGCCTTTTCTGATGGTTTGGAACAAGATAATAATCTAAAAGTGCTGATAAAAAAGAAAAAACATCTAAAAGCTTGTCTCTATGTTTCATTTATGATTTCATAAAATATCATTGTAATATTGCTACATATTTTACAATGTTTTCACCATGTCTAATTTTTCCAATATTTCCATATGATATTTCTGACTCTTTCCTTTATTTGGATAATTAACATTTTCAAACTGACAAGTACATTTTAAACCTTGTTTGAGCCATGATATGGGGCTTCTCTCCAAGTTTGTGACATGGACCCTAAGTTTAAATCATGGACGAATCCCCAATGCTCTCTCTCTCTCTCTCTCTCTCTCTCTCCACACACACATAATAATTGAATCAATTATTTGAATATATCTATGTTTGTGTAGGTGGAAAACTCGTTCTCAAGCAATTTTAACAGTTCTTAAAAGCCTTGAGGCTGACTTCTTCTGTATACAGGTGTGTATTGCTTTCTATTTTGTCCATAATTTTCTTTAATATAATAAATGATGAAGTTGTGTATTTCTTATGTCAGTTAATATGTTTTACTTCATTTTTTGTTATAATTTAATTGCTTGTATGAACTTTTGCTCCTTTATACCATAATATACACCTTATTGGTCTTCACTTAATTAAGAAGATAGTCAATTAGGAGTTAGACGAGTATGATGCCTTCTACAAGGGGAATGTGGAGAACCATGGGTATTCAAGTATTTACATTCAGAGAAGTGGACAGAAGCGTGATGGATGTGGGATCTTCTACAGGCACAGCATGTATGTTTTCTACTTTGATTTAAAATAGACAAGCAATACCTTTTCTTGTGATTATGTATTTAAATTATTATTTTATTGTATCAGTGCTTTGAGTCTGGATTGTCTTTTTCTACATCTTTACACTTCTCATGGCTGATGTGTTAATTATTATTATTATTTTTGATCAGAAACGATAACTTTCATTAGAGATAAATTAACCTGAAATACAGAATTCAACCCTTATTAGAAAAGGTTGATCCAATAAACATCAAACRTTACAGCACTGCCCAAAAAAGACTCTCCCTTACAGTCCCTTGTTTTGCTAGGGCGTCAGCAAAACCATTTGCTGATCTCCTTACCCAGTTGAAACAAACACCCACCTCCCTTGTTATGCTAAGAATTTCCCTTATCAGCTGTCTATATTGCCAAATTCCCAGCTGTCCTGATTGCATCCACCCAATTACCAACTTGGAGTCTCCCTCTATCTCAATCTACTGTAGCCCCAACTGTTTGGCCAGTTTTACACCTTGATGTAGTGCCAAGATTTCCGCTCTTAAGGAATCTCCAACTCCTATTGGACATGAAAACAAAGCCATTATCTTGCCTTCATTATCTTTGAAAACACCTCCTATACCAGATGGGCCTGGATTACCTATAGAGCTTCCATCAAAGTTCAGTTTCACCCTTTGTTGTGCTAGTGGTGACCAAACTTCCTGTATCATATCTTTGGAAGTAGTAGTAGATGCCATAATACCCCAACTTCTATAAATGTCTTCAACTAAGAAATCCTTAAAAAGATCACAGGATTTCAACCAATGRATAACCTTAGTAGTTATTCCTTCCACAACCTCTTCCTTGGATCTACATCTGCCTTTAAAGATCCTATTGTTTCTTTCCTCCCACACTGACCACAATACAGCAGCTCTAGTGGYTCTCCACATAATCCTTCCACGAACCGTTGGTTGCCTGTAAAAAGTTGGATCAAAGAGGTTTACCACGCTTGAGGAGGGAGTCCACCTGCAGCCAAAGAGAGAAGAGAACTAAGACCAAATAAAGAACACAAAGGGACATGAGATTAGTAAATGTGAAATTGTCTAACCAGAACCCAAACAGAGGCAACAAACATGGGGGGAGAGGCACATATTTGGCCTCTTTTTCTGCAATAAATTCAAGGTGTTGATTTTTTGGAGTACTACTTCCCAACAAAAGGCCTGAATTTTAGGGGGTACAGGGCTATCCCACACCTCCTTTGAAGGAAATTTCCCTACAAGGTTAGAGGTCTGAAGCAAAATGTTATAGAAAGAAGAGCAATTGAAAAAACCAAAAGGGGAAGGTTTCCAAATTCTGCTATCTCTACAGGACTGATCAAGAAAGACTTCCCCTAACTGAGTGATCAAATCATCAACCATCCCCATTTCAGAATCCCTTAGACCNTCTTTTGTTTTCAGACAAGGAGTAAATAGAAGGAAATCTATCTCTAAGGGAGTTTTCACCAACCCAAACATCTTCCCAAAACAAGACTTTATTTTTAGCGCAGACATCATATTTGAAATAAGGAAGCATAAGAGGCAAAATACCTTGAATAGCTTTCCAAGGAGAAAACTGAGAAGCCTCAGGGTCGAGTCCTGAATCCCAGCCGTTATCTGCCAATCCATGAATACTAACAATCACTCTAGACCAAAGTCTGTCCTGTTCCATCGGTAGTCTCCAAATCCATTTCCCCAGCAAAGCCATGTTAATCTTATATTTCCTAACCCAAGGCCTTCAACATCCCTACTCCTAGAAACCACCTCCCACTTCACTAAGTGATCCTTCTTAGTATCCCTGGTTTCCACAAGAAATCCCTTATTATCTTCTCTAATTGGTTAGCTACTTTTATTGGTACTCTAAAGGTAGATAGGAAATAAACTGGTAGGTTGGCTAAGGTTGACTTGATTAAGGTTATCCTACTCCCTAAAGAGATGTAATTCCTCTTCCAATTTACTAACCTCTTGGAGAATCTTTCAATTACAGGGTACCAAAAACTCTCAACCATTGGGATCCCTCTCAGTGGTAGCCCCAAATATTGTAAAGGCCAGCCCCCCATTTCACACCCCAAAATCCTAGCTAGGGAATCCACCTCCTCTTCCCCTAGATTGAGCCCTGCCACACAACTTTTTCCCCAGTTCACTTTAAGATTGGACTTCCTTTCAAATTGAAGCACTAGATTCTTTAAGTTCTGTAATTCCCCTTCCTCCCCGTCACAAAACAAGATGATGTCATTTGCAAATTGCAAGTGTGTGACCACCACCTCGTCCCTACCAATCCTCCAACCTCTTATCAAATTGTTAGCATCTGCCCTCGAAATCATGGCACTCAACACATCAGCTACTAGGGTAAAGAGGAATGGGGACAATGGATCTCCTTGCCTAATACYCCTCTTTRYARGAAAGAAACCCCTAGCTACACCATTCACCAATATTGAGAAATGACATGAAGAAATGCATCCCTTTACCCAACTGCACCATCTCTCCCCAAACCCTCTCCGCTTGAGAACGTCTAGTAAAAAATCCTAGTCAACCATGTCATATGCCTTTTCAAGATCCAATTTGCAAACTAACCCCTTTTCCTTTCTCCTCCTCTTCACCTCAACACATTCAATGGCAATAAGTATTTGATCTACAATTTGTCTTCCTTCTACAAAGGCCCCTTGATACGGTGAGATTAGAGATGGGAGGAATTTTTTTAATCTTAGCGCTAGGACCTTAGAGATGATCTTATACATGCTTCCCACTAGGCTTATAGGTCTGAAATCCTTTGGTTGGAGAGTGTCCTTCTTAGGAACCAAGGCAATAAAAGTTGCATTTGCTCCCGAGTTAAATTTGCCTCTCTCATAGAATTCTTCAAAAACCTCCAACAAATCCTCTCTAATTATCTCCCAACAATCTTGATAGAAGGCCATCGAAAAACCATCAGGCCCAGGAGCTTTAG